ATTTATCAGCATTGCCAGCAGCGGCCCCTGTGAACCGATAGACCTGGCCAGTTTAGATACGGGAAACCTGGCGTCGACGTAGCGTAGGAGCGGGCCGTTTGCGACGAGCAGCTGGCGTTCCTGTTCTCATTGTCCGAGCTGTTTGCGGTCTCGTTGGTGGAGGCATGACAATATTTACTACAAGGGTTCCAGCGTTCGAGCTTGCATGGGCAGTAGGTCGCATGGGTATTGGCAAATTACCCAAATCCACGAGAATTCCGTTTGGATAGCCCATGGCCCAACCCATGGGTTGGGTCGTGGGTCGACCCATGCAGCACCCTGGTCTAAACGACTCAGGTGTAGATTGACTACAAGTGCTACCAAGCGGGGCTGTCGTAGCTTAGCGCTTGGGGAAGCGTAAGTTATGTCACCGACCTTTCGTTCTAGTAACAGAACAAGTTCGAGTTTAGCGGATCGCAAACCGCTTACTCCAAGAGTAATTATAGCCTTAATCCAAGGCTAATTAACTTTTCGCTTTAAATTCAAAACTGACTTTATTATTATCTGCGGCAAAGCCGCCTACTTTCAAATGCATAGATTTTTCTAAATATGTATAGTAAAATATAAATACATGTATAACTACTGGCTATCCAGCCCCGTACCGTATTCCTGTGTGGGTGTGGTCATACCATGCCCATCCACACACGGGAAGTGTAACCCCGTTACATCTGTAATTGCACAATATCAAATTCTATAATTTTCAGTGATTCGGTATGTATTGCTGAAGGACATTTTTGTAAGAAATAAAAAAATAGAGTAGAGTAACCTTATGGTCGAGCGCAAGAAAGTCAGAATTTTGCCAAGAAGAATAAATTGTACAGCCCTGCAGATAAAAGAAGGCTACAGATTACGATGGAGGGGACAACTGGTCCACAAAGACGATTCCGATGGGAGGATGCTGAAAATCCTCACGGAATCACAGCGTTGATGAGCAATTCCCAAAGGTGAATATAGTAATCGAAACGCTGCATTGGGCTTCATGGAAAGAGAGGATGCCGGCGAAGAAAAAATTCCTATTCTTGCCAACGTTCTCAGCAACGACCCATTATCTTTGCACGCTGTTGCATTTTTTGATGAGATGATACCCTATTGGTCAAACCAGTAGGAATCTGACAATGTGCGCTATTGTCAGATTCCTACTCATGGTGTTGGGCTCAGCTGCCTTATTATTTAAATCAAGAGCTTATAAAAGCGAATAGCGTGTTTAGAGTTTTCCTGCACCGTGTTGACCGGTGTGCTTACACTTAATTAGTTATGGGAAGCAATAAGTAGAGCAGAACCACCAGCGCTCCACCTGGTGTCAGCATTAGAATGGCAAAGTAAAATAAAAAATACTTAGAAAAAGGTCGTTGAATTTTTTTTGGAAAATATTCAAAGTAGTTAGAGGAATTGTCAGCACAACTTCATCATGAGTTTTGTTTGATCTGTACGAACCGACTGTCTTTTCCCTGCCTGTAAAAACTTAGGTTAGTGCTCGATGGATTCCATTCGAAATGAAATTTACTGCCCTCACAACTTCTTGCGTTAACCCCCCTCATCCATAGGGTGTTGTATGTTTATGTGGGTCCAGCATATTCAGAAGAGTTTCTGAATAATATGAACCCTCACCATCCTTTTGTCGAATTTCCTACAGACTAGTTTATAGCTAATAATCGTCTTCTATATTGAAAAAATGTGAGCAAAACAGCTAGTTTTAACTTCCTGTAACACTAAATAAAAACATACTAAAGTGACGTATTGTTTTTTATAGGTGTGCTTGGACCTACAACATTTAGTTTGTTACAAACTCTCGTCTAATAAGGCGTTACCTATATAGCACACAAACAAAGCTCTCAAGACAGATGGATATGTAGACTTAGCCGGTTATTAATCTCTCTCTGATACTGGAATTTCAGTTCTTATATGATGGATGCAATGATTAGAAATAACGTAATACGAAGTTTCCGAGGCCGAGATTGTCATTTTAATTTTCGGGCTTTTCAGAAACGAGCCAGACCTCGTCGTGAATCCTGAGGCCATATTCTGATTCGAAAGGGTTGTGGCTCAGCTGACATGGCTTCAAAGAAATAAGAAAAGTTCATTAAAGGGGATGGGTGTTAGGTATAGGTCAGAGCGATACGGCTCAGATTTTTGGAGGAATTTTGGAGTACTATGCATTAATACTTCCATGATTGCAATTGTTGAATTTGCAATGGCTCGATGACATCTTTTGAATTAATGGGTGATAATTTCGGAGAACCGACGTGAAGATTTTGTAACTTCGCGAATCTTTCTGAATAGTGGACGAATATATAGCATCGTCCCTCTCAACCTATATATTTATCCTGAAGCTATATCAGTTTTTATTCTGATAGATACCCTTTGCATGAAAGCACTGGATAAGGTATCTCTTCTATGTGAAATATGAGCATTGCATAGCTAGTACGCGCCAGCTTTTAGTTTTGGTGCTTTAAAATGTGGGTATGCAGGGCATCAGCCTTTTGTGGTGATTCAATCGTTATCCCTGCTACATAAAATATTAAGTAGCAACACCAACTCACAGCAGAGCAAAACCTGCGTCCTAGTGCTAGCTTATTCTGCAAGACTCCGTTGAGTTGAAGGAAAAATACACAGTGCAAGTCGTCCAATTGCACGAATTTTGTTCTGGTGACGAGGTCTTATGTGCGCTATGGAATTTTTTTGTGCTTTTGGCGGTTACTACAGTAGCAAGTATCAGTCTTGGTTACCAGAATGGCCTTCCGTAACCGGACTCTTGAATCGGGTTGTGCCACCTGTAGAGTAACCTAACACGGCTATTTCGGTGAGAGATGTCATGTGCTGTGAAGATTTGATCTGTGGCAATCATCACACCGCTTTGTTAAAGAATCATAGTATACTTAAAATGACTTTTTGATGTAAGTGGTGATACCGAAGCACGACTTATTTGATAATAGAGGTCCAGGTATAGCACATCCACCCAGTTATTTTCTCAGTATCGGGTGCGTCGCAAGTCCCGGGCGCGAACACATGCAAAACACCCCAAGTGATATATAGCTGCTCTCACTTATTTTCTTCGACTTAATCGCATCTTGGCATGCTGACGCTGGCACCTGGCTGGGGTGGCGTTGCATCCATCACTTTCCATCTTACTTAAGCTTTCACAAGAATGGCAAGCGAACATCCCAAAAGCGAAGCAGTAGCATATCCGGACTTTGACGTTGCGGAAATTGAACGGAGGCGTAAGCAGCGTGAACTCAAGCGAAAGTCTCGGGAACGTAAAAAAGTAGGTCCAGGCTGGTCAAATGCTGTGCTTTAGATTGTTGTAGAATAACACTTAAACTTGTCAATGACTTTGTATAGAAAGTTCTCTTGGAACTTCAGACAACCGCACAGACGCTTGAGCACGAATATAGTGAGCTATTTGCCGCTAAGCGAATCAGAGAGCAGCATGATCTGGATCTAAGTGGAGCGATGAAGATCCCGTCTGGTACGACAAAGATTAAGCAGCCTCAACTGGCAAAACTTCAGGAGAAATATAAGGCTGTGCGCCGGGAGATGTATGAACTTCGAGAACAAATGAGTAGATTTAAGCAACAGCTTGAAGAGTATGAGCGCTTTGTTGCGATGCTAGATGGTCACCTTACGGACGTCCAAACTCAGCAAAGAGACCCAGCCACTTCTACTGCTACATGAGACAAGTACAGCTAAATGATTGCTACCCAGCTACAAGATTCTTCACGTCAGCCAACCGATGATATGAAGATTTTCAAAGCGGACACGAAAATTTTTTGACAGTATCTTGCTAGAGGTAACTTTTAATATGATAAGGCAATATGACACAAACGCCGCAATTAGGTCTGCTAATCTATTGAAGGTCCAGTTTAGATACCTCAATAGCTTGGGTAGGTCTCTGTAACATCTGCAATTCAAGTGAATATTAGGGGGCAAACACGAATCGGTGTAGCAGTCGCATAGCAACTTATTCCTTGTAATATTTTTTAAGGCTTCTGGTCTAAAGAAGCAAATAATATATTAGATACGATTAGGGAAATCGTGAACTGCCATTTACTTGAAATATACTTTTATAAATTTCTTGAACAAGATGCTGAGTAGTTGGCAACAGCGCTGCCGTGTATCTCGCAAAGTAAAATCTTTGACTCTACGATCCCACGTTTTCTTACGCAGAAAAAAAAGATTGCACGCTCTACAAGGAGCGGGATGGAGAGCATGTTTTCTACATTAAATGATACTCAATACATCTATTTTACTACAGTCACATCTCTATATGTGGACACCAAACTGTGCGGCCAGCCGATCATGTTCCACATATAAACCGTTCACATTGAGAGGGTAATAAAACAACCCGATTCGAAGTACTCAAAGTACTGAGATTTGGTGGTCAGAGTCTTGCGCTGGATGCACTGTTTTCTGATAAACTACGCCATTTTTGCTAGATCTCGTGTCTCTTCGTCACAGTTGGGAAGACGAGCAATAAACTCGGCAAGCTTTACACAGCAAGCCAGAGCCGCTGATAGTTGTATCGGGGCTTCAGCTTCTAAGTTTTTGTCGCTTTCTTGATCCGCATCAAGCCCAACTCGTTCGATCACATCCTGGGCACATTTAACTGGCTCTGCTGAGTCTGCGTCAATGTATGCATCGACACCGTCAGTAATATACATCTCCTTCATCAGCGCATCGAGATCCTACCCCACGATCGCATTCAACGCGCGACCATAATTATTCGCCTGCCTCAGTCGTGCCATTGTCAATGAGTCGACGATGTTGCTCCGCAACCAGCATTGCGTAGAACTTGAGCGGGCACTTTCTCCTAATTGGCGATCGCTAACTGCACAGCCTCTAACACATTCAACTTTTGATTGACGCCAGCATGCATGGTATCAAGCAGCCAGCGAAAGAGCTCGCGTCGATACCGAGCTTTGAATGAACTAATGATTCCTCGAACAGCGACAGTAGTTAGGAGGTAGAAAAAACTGTGATGCCGTATTTCTTACCTGCATTAAATGAGATGATCAGTGATGCCATGTTGGGTGGCAGAAAACATACCGTCATATACATAGGAGCCAAGCGGCAAAGTGATTTGATTCTACCACGCGGTCGGATTAAGATTTTTAAAAGTGCATTGCTGAAATTTTGACTTTCCGGAACGCTCGTGGCTGCTTCGCCTTGTCAACATCGTTTTTTTATTTTTTTCAGCCGTAAAATGGTCTTTTTAATTATTGAACCATGTCGACCGACGGACGCGAGTGTTTTGACTGACAGCGAGGCTGACACAATCAACAGAATCGCTTTCACCATCCAGTGAGGCATCTTGATGCCGTGGCGTGGCTTGAGCCTGTGGAGCCACCCGTTGGACAGACCAAGTTCGGCATCCGTGATGCCAAGTCTGTCTTGAATGAAGCAAGCCTTTTTGGTGAAGAGACCGTCCGTGAGGATGGCCTTGCCGTCATTGTGATTGTACAGCACAAGAAAAGCCGACTCGAGCACAGGAAACCGAACACTGCGATTCTTTTCACAGCCTTAAGGTCCACTGAATACATCTTCTGGCGTATGGATGATGCGATGCGCCGTCGAGCGCGAAAGATTGACCTTAAATTTAGCTCGTACCCACTCTTGAATCTGAACCAGCTTGACGCCGGTGTTGCGCTTGACATCTTCTTGTATCTGGCGGTTTTCGTCCAGGGTAAGCAGTCGCTGACCTCCGCCCATGGTTGTTTGCCTCTCAAACTCTCGATCACGGTCCGGTGAGTGTTCAGAAATGGAGGTAATCCGTGTTTTGTGACCACAGATAATTAATTGTTCTAGTTCCAAAGATCCCACCAATGAATGTAGCATACAAAAACCAAAAATAAAAAATCGCTGCAATGCGTTGATGTTCACATATAAAAATGATTCACTACTGGAGGTCCACATATGTATAGTTGGATTAGCTTAGCTTTTGCAGCTTAGCTTTTCAATATTCAGAGCTAAGCTATTTAGCTTTAGCTTTTTAAATCTCCAGCTAAGCTAAATCTATCTGGAAAGCTGCTAGCAAAGCTATTCAAAATTGGCGCCAAAATGTCTGCCAAAA